TTAAATAAATATTTCTGAAGATTGGCGTTTTAGTAATAAATTATAATAGTAAATAAATTTTTTAATGATTTAAAGTTCATTTCCGGTTAATCATCGCTCTTGTTTTTTGACCAATCACATGATAATATCACGTGATTTGCCCGCTTTAGACGACCTCCTAATTGGGTAATCTTCATTGAGATTGCCTTTTCAAAATCTGCACGTATGGAAAATCCAATTCGAACAATCTTCATTTGTTTATTTTCAGGGTGTGATCCATCAATTGTATTATATGTAACTTTTAGTTTGTTTTTGCCTTTTAATGTACGCTTTATAATGTGCGAAATGAAAAAAAAAATGGTTAAATTTTGATTTGTAGATCAGTTGGCAGTCATGTGTTATCAGTCAACAGTCATCTCATCAGTCACGACTCAGTCACAGAGTCGACTCTACTTGATTTTTGCAGAGTCGACTCAGCCGTCGACTCTGACTCCAATGGCTGGTACTACTAGTAATGGGACATGTCGAGGCGTTCACGTTGAAGACCTGCTGAAAGCGACACACTATTGTCCGAGAAAATAGATTGTCAAGAGATCGTTATCGTCATCTTTACATGATCATCATGAGGATGGAATATTTTTCGAGTCAATCCAGGGATTGCAACGCTAATAGCTGCATCTTTTCCTCCTTGAGCCTTTGTACCAAATTGACCTTTGCCATAAAGGATATTGATGTAATTTGAACCGATAAAATCGAGAGCTATTGCGAGCCTCGGCTAACGAAGAAACTTTAATTTCGTTCTTGAAATTTTTCTTAAAACAAGTGTACAAATCTTTTTTTCTGGGAGGTTTTAATCCGTCGAGAACATTTGGAATCGAACGTCAATATCGGCTCGACTAAAAAGATCAACTTTTATTTATAAAATCCGATATCGTGATTTCTTGCTCATCATTATTCATGTAGATACCAGTCTAGAAAAATATAAATTTTTAAAATGTGAATTTACGTTAAAAAGGTTACATTCTGGAACCAGGAAATAACAGAAAAAAGAACTATTTCTTGCGATCATAAACTTACTTTTTATGAAAGCCAGATCGATCAACTCTCCAAAAGGTATGACGCTTTAAAATATTGCTTAGCTTCTTTGGTATTAGAAGTGCCAAGACTCGAGTATTTATTACATTAGTTACATATTTTTGTAAAAATATTTATAAAAAAAATTACCTTTTAGTATTTGACTTTCAATTTTTAGCATCAGACGTCATATCCTTCAAATTTTCATATTCAGGCATGGTAAGAATGACACTTCTTCATAACCAAATAAAAATTGTTAAAATGATTATTGAATCTCAAGTGATTGAATGGTTTCATACATTTACAATAAATGTGATAATTCCCATAAAAACCCGGAATTTTTAGCAAGGAGGGATCCAAGAAATTGATTATTAATCGCTTCCATCGTGATTTTGATCCGTCATGATCATCAGAAGATAACCATATCGTAATTCGCTTGTTGATGTATATTCTTTTCCTCGCTTCAGTTCAAGTATGTTCTTCATTTGATAAATCTATAATTTATTCATGATTTAAGAGTGGGTACCTTCCGAATATTTATAAGTTTTCCCGAAATAGGAAAATTCCATAATTTTCACGTCCAACCCGGAAACTGCTAAAGATTCACCTTCGGTAAGGATTAAAGTACAGTCCTCAGCAATTCTCCCACCAGCGTTATTTGCCTCTTCAAATTAGTGATTCTATTAAAAATATATCGACATTTAATTTTAATTAACAAAAAATTTTTTTTATCAATTCCCTCTCCTCTCCTTCGACAATTTATTTACTTAGTTTTTTTTCCATTAATTTTTTATTTAGTTTATTATTAACTTCATCTATAATGTGATCACATTTGAGAACTATTATATAAGAGAAAAATCAATGAACCATATATATATACAAATATTTTTTTACATGATATTATATGAATAGTACAATTACTTACGTTTATCAAAAGGTATGTGGCTTTTAATGTAAGATTTTCTTTCGCCTGAAAAATCGAAGGATGGTTTTCAATCGAACAATATGATTTTTGATATGGTTCTTATTTCTGACCGCTGTTCAGCAAATTGATCTGCGATGTAGTTTAACGTGGTACCTCCTTTTATATTACACGATGGAATTGAGAATCAGTAGAGAGAAGGGCTCCAATTTCCCATCGTTCACCACTCTTATCAAATATTAATGTAGATTTTAAGTCTCCGCCATAACTCATTCATTATCAAGCACACTTGAACTTCCTCAACGCCGTATACACGCTTTTTTAAGAGGCCAATAATGTAATTGTCTTGTGAAAATAAGTTTGAATGCCAATGTGTATTCACATTTAAAACAAGAGGTGATAATTGGACGGTCATATTGTTCCTGAAAGGTTTGCGATATTTCTTGTCATTTGAAGATGTTTTCACAATTTCTTCACCAAACTAGCAAATAGCCCAAGTTTACTTTTTTTTTCATTTATGATGAAGAAATTAAGAAAAAAATGAATTCCGCACTTTATATGTTCACTAATTAGCAACCGAAACATTACGAATACCGGAAACTTTCTTTTATCATCATAATTTGAAAGATGTAAAAAGTTGCGAAAAGATAAGTTGAGATACATAAAATTTTTGATTAGCATTTCAATAGGAGTTGCTTTTCCGTAATTAAAGATGGAAATTTGACCTCCTTCTTTGTCAATATCAACTTTAATAACTTTTAGTCTCACCTGATTAACGAAAAATTTTAAATAATCAACACAAATCAACGATTAATAAGATATAAGATTACATACTTGTAATACGTGTTCAAAACCATTATAAACTTCAAAAAAAAAATTACCTGTAACAAGCCTTTACGATTCAGAACCAAAAACACACCTCTTTTCTTTAAAGAGTCAAGGGAACCAACATAAGAGTCGGGTCTCAGCAACTGGAGAATTATTTTTATTGCTTGGTGTGTTTGCTTGTGTGGCTTGGTTTTGCTCTTTACCTCGCCACAAACGCAGCTGACAGAAGACGCAATTGTTGCTTTTTTTAGTATTATATGTTCTTGATTTAGAATGATGTTCAATCTTATTTTCTTATTTTAAGGCTTTTCTTTCTTATCTCCTCAAAAAAACCTCTACAAAAAAATAAAATTTTTTAAAAAAATAATCGTTATACCATAACAGAAATAACAATTTTTATTCTTTATAATAGATATTCTACACATTAACCATTTTGGTTAATTAACCGAAGGATTTTGAATTGACCAATCAAATTAAAGAAATTTTTAGATGATTGAATTTTTTACCTTGCTCTCCTTGCTCTCCTTGTTCTCCTTATTTTCAAATAGTTGGTTTATTAAAAAAACTTGATACTTTTTATATTTTTTTTTGAAAATAATGATATTAAACCAAGTTTACATCCTTCTGTAAAATGGCAATTATTGTTCTAAAGCTTTTAAGCTCAAGGAGATGACGATAGTATTTTGGATTGGAATCAAATGTAATAGATTTGACGCTATTCTTAATATAGTAATATAATAACGGGTAATTTTCCGGTTATTAAATTACCGTTAAGGAATGTTTGATGAAATTTTTTGTTTAAATTTTTATTATAATCATCAATCTTTAAAAATAATACAGTTAAAAGGTATCTTGATCATTCCTCAAAATTTAGGACTTATGGTAAAGTTAGGAATAACAGAGAATTAATGAAATCGATTATGCTCAAAGTAATGTGGGCGGCAAAATAAAGGCGGGTGGAAAAACAAAATAATTTAAAAATTTTTTTTATATTTTAATTATAATCATATTCTTTTATGTATAATAAAAATACAGTGTGGCAGCGCAGCGGTTGGTAAAATAATGTTGCTTCATAATTATGAATTTTTCCGCATAAAAAAGAAATTTGAAATCCAAAGACAAACCATTAAACATTACTGAAATATTAGCCAAAGAAATACATGAAATAACAAGTATTTTTCTTTATACTTTTGAATATAATCTTAAAAACTAAGAGAAACAGGTGATACAGTCAACTCTCCATAAATGCATCCTCTATAAATGCACACACTTTATAAATACACTCTTTTGCTTGGTCCCAAGCTGGAACTTATATGCTAAATGCACATTTTACATATATCTCACTCTGTAAATACATACTTTGACAAAAAAATTTTATAATAGTTACTTATAAAATTTTTTTGTATTACATTAATTTTATATTAATGAAATATAAATTTATATATATCTATAAATGCACACCCTCTCTAAATACACATTTATGTCTGGTCCTAAGGGGGTGCATTTATAGAGAGTTGACTGTATTAAGCATAAATTGGATGTTACCAAATGTTATACAAAAATTTCATGTATTATCGACAAAATATATGTTGTAATAACACTATTTCTACTTTTCAACTTGCAAATAAAATAGAAAATATCAAAAAATATTCTATTGATCATACTACTATTTGAAAGAATATAGCAATTTTGTATTTTTATCAACACCAATGCTTATAGATCGGCATATCAAAATAAGAAAATTATGGATACATAATGACAATTTTGACTGATAAAACTGCATTTGATTTTTTTAAAATAAGGTTTATCAATAGCATAAAAAAGATAATAAATCTATTTGCAGTATTAAAATTAGCCTGCATAAGCTGCACAAGTGCAGACATTTTTTAAAATGTGCAAAGATAATTAAAAAAATTCCTATATATATATTGCCTTAAAGATATTAAATAAAACCTACATAATAATATAATATGCATTTAAAAAATATTAATTAATATGCATAAAATGCATATGTAAAAACTTAATCAAAATCTTGCACATAAAATTCTGCTAGTTTTTAGTTTTATTAATATAGTCTAACCTTTATATAATGAAATTATCGAAGAAAAGAAAACACTGGCAGTTATTTTTCCTGATTGTGTTCGATACACAAAATTCATTTGATACACAATATTTTTAATAAAGTAATGATTTTTTTCTTGTGGATTTTGCAGATAAAGAGATTTATTAATATCATTTTAATTAATATATAAGTTGTTAATATATAAGTTGTGAAAAAATGTATTTTTTTATTAAACCTTTCATTTTACTCCTTAACATTAATTTTTTAAATGCCATTTTTTTTATTTTATTTTTTTTGTTTAAAATGCCTTTAAAATTAATTACTTTTACTATATTCATGACTCTCAAGAAAGACAAACTGTCAATTAGACAGATCAAAGCCTTTATTCCAACCAATTAAACAGCTTTAACAGAAATTATACCTTATGAGATTGGTAACATAATTTATTTAAAAGAAAAGTTTGTGACTTGTGATGATTGGCACTCTGTAAGTAATACAAATAAGAATAAAAAAATTTATTATTAACCGAGAAAAGTAACAAATATTACATCATTATATGTTACTATAGAATCCCCTCTTCCTCCTTGTAAGATTTATTATTCACATGATTATATTAAATAAATTCAACCAATAAACATTAAGCATTATCTTGCAGTACAGTAGTGATCAACCAATTTCAAACTGGATAATTAGTTCAGTTAAATTTTTAGCTGCAGTTTTGATTATATAGTAAATCAAATTATAATTATTTAATAAATTTTTATAAGGATTAATTAGTGTTGAACCTAGGGTTAATCAGTGTTGAATCAGTGGTGATTAATTTATTGATTCAATTTATTTAATTTCTATAATTCAAATTTAAAATTGCTGAAAATTTCAATTGCGAAAACTGTGTAAATTTTAAAATTGCTAAAAAATTAGATCATTTATTTGACTTTTGCATAAAAATTAGATATTTTGCCAACTTATTGAATACATTGATCACTGACATATTTCAATACAATTTTATATAAGGAAAGTTTTATCGCGTTTTTATTTCTGTAATTATTCAATCTTTTACATTAATAATTTTTAAATTTTTCTCAAATAATAATTTTAAAATTTCAAAAATACCTGTCACTATCAAATGGTTTGATGAAGAAATGCAACTTTTGATTGAATTAAGGAGGGAAAGGAATGATGATTACTGAAGAAAATTCGAAAGATCAAAGTTGACTTTTTGGAATGAAATTGTGACATTGATACAAGAAAGGTTTATGATTGCGTTTAATGGATTACAGGCAAGAGAAAATTTAAAGGATAGTCAGGAATTATAAAGTAAGTAAAATATTTGTAAATGAAAGAATAATAATATTTATCTTAATTGTATTTACAATAATATTAATTTTTTAGTTATTTGAAAAGTACGCTGATGGGGACAAGAATGGAAGGTGAACTCATATTGGAGAAGTTTTTAGGAAATAATTTAAAACCCCATTTTGGAAGAGACCAGGTTGGAATAATAAAACTTTCCAATTGATATTTAATTGAAAAAAATCATTATTAAAATTAAATATTTATATTATTTAGTATCACGTGTACAAGAAAGAAGACATGTGGGATTAAAAGAAAGATCTCAAGATAAGAAATTTATTTAGTTAATATCAATATTATTTTAACCTAAATTTAAATTTAAATTTTTTAGAATCCTCTAATCCTCTCAATCCTCTCTATCTGAAACTCAAAATAACCCTCTCTCTCAATCCTCTTAATCCTCTCAATCTGAAACCCAACATAACCCTCAATAATCTATCTTTCCAACTATTGTTACTCCTTTTTCCAACTACCTTTATTCTTTTTTCATATTTCATAATTTTAACTAGTCTCTCTTTCCTTTATCTTTTCCATTATTTTTACTTATCTCTTTTCATTCAGTTTTTTTTATAAATTTTTTTCTGAATTCTGTTAAAAAAAAACCTGAACGAAGCTTACCACCTCTACATAATGTTCAGGATCAACAGTTATAGGTTAATTTATATCTGCCTAAGAGCAAGCATTCTTTTGTAACTTTAATTCATTAGTTATTTATTATTTATATTTATTTGTTTTACATTATTCTCCAAACTTATTATCATATACTGAATTTGAATATGATATTTGGTATACTATATAATAAATAAATTATTAAAACATTACCGTGAGGTTCAACTCTAATTATTTTACTTCTTTGTTATGATTGGCTAACCTAATGATCATGTGAGAAGTAAGATATTTAAGAATACATCTACGTAATAGTGTTCATAATCAACAGTTATAGGTTAATCTATATCTGGCTAAGAGTAAGCATACTTTTGTAACTTTAATTTGTTAGTTATTTATTTAAATTACA